ATCAATCTACCACTGGATGAGGGCCTCCCCATGCCGTTTTGGAAATGAGAGCTGTTTGCCGTGATTTGTGCCAATTATGTGTGCGCAACCTCTACGTCTCGTTTCTCATAGAGATTGCACTGGAGCACAATGCGATGTGCTGTCTAACTTTGTGCGGCGACGGTGCTGAGACCATGGTGAGGTCTCAGTCCACCAGGATCACCGATTCGTCCCATCCACGCGGCGTTCATCTACCGCGCTGTGGATCTCAACAACGCACTCACCCACCCACTCACTCACCCACCTACTCGCTTACTCACCCACCCACTCACTCACCCACTCACTCACCCACTCACTCACCCAATCACTCACTCACTAACCCACTCACTCACTCACCCACTCACTCACCCACTCACTCACTCACCCACCCACCCACTCACCCACTCACTGACTAACCCACTCACTCGCTTACTCACCCACTCACTCACCCACTCACTCACTCACCCACTCACTCACTCACCCACTCACCCACTCACTCAATCACTCACTCACCCACTCACTCACACTCACCCACTCACTCTCTCACCCACGCATCCACTCACTCACCCACCCACTCACCCACTCAGCCACTCACTCACACTCACCACACAGTGGTGAGGTCTCAGTCTACCAGGCTCACCGATTCGTCTCATCCACACAGCATTGTTTGACCGCACTGTGGGTCTCAACAACGCACTCACCCATTCACTCACTCACCCACTCACCCACACTCACCAATTCACTCACTCACTCACCCACACTCACCCATTCACTCACTCACTCACCCACACTCACCCATTCACTCACTCACCCACTCACCTACACTCACCCACACTCACCCATTCACTTACTCACCCATTCAGTCACTCACCCACCCACCACACTCACCCATTAACTCACCCATTCACTCACTCACCACACTCAGCCATTCATCACCAATTCACCCACCCATTCACTCCTGCCACCATATATTTATGTTACCCAAATTCACATAACCTTACTCAATTCAGTAAAAAGTTAAATAGTCGAACACACTTTCAATGTTGCTGTTTGTGTCTGGCTGCTTGGCAGTTTAGGCCTTTGGGCCAGTGTTCAGCAACTGCGATTAAACTATCAACTATTTTTTATTTTACCAGGTAAGGCTCACTCGGTCTATATAGCTCTTAAAAACAAAGACATAGGCCAAATGAGAGCGAGTCTCATTTAATGGACAGTATATTGTTTGACCAGAAACAGTGTTTTCCAACAAAACGTTTTCTGTTAAAGGCAATTGACTAAATTGTCTTGACAAGTCCCGTGGCTTAACTGGATGACTTTTGTCCGTTAACATCTCGCAAAATGTGTTTAACAGGTCTAGCTGCCCGACTCTGCTGATGAGATCTAGAAGGTCAAACCCAGTGCCAAGGTTTGCCTATTTTAAACAAATACTGCCGTTAAACATTGATGCAGAAAGACCACACGCTCACTCACTCACTCAAATTTTATTTTAATGTTTTACCTTTGTCTGTTTGTATATTCATTTGTGAGATATGGTTAAACAACCCCCAAGACCGATACAGTGTGGGGAGGTCTTCAGCCTGCAGTCGGTTGACAGAGAGCTGCAAACAAAACTAGATTTAATCCTCCATCAGAGCACATAATGAGTTTCTCTACAAATTGCAACAACAAAAAAACCCATTTGCCCTGTATTATATGGGAGAACAAGCAAGTTAAGCAACGCTTCACGTTGTACCCTTCCGATTCTAAGAGATATTCACAAGCCCACCATACCCAAATTCACCTCGAACACATGCCCAATCCCATTGGATTTGAGAAGCTAAGCAGATTTTGAGCCTGGCAAGTGCTTTGACGGGCAACCACCAAATCGTGCTTCCCCCCCACCCACCACGTTCGGATTGACAAGCGAGATGAGAGGCTGTACATGTGCGTTGCTGCCAAGGCACGTCGTCACGTGGTGCTGTCTTATTATCAGGGATATGATGATGATGATGCAAATGCTTCGGAGGCAAGGGCAGCAGGAAATGAGGACGTCTAAAAAAAGGAAACGCTGCTGAGCGGATGTTTTCTGGCTCTCGGACAACCCTGCTAAGTATAACGGGAGGAAGCCACCGAGCGCTTTGTACAAATTAAAACGAAGAACGCCAGGGGACTGATTCACGTTGCTTGAGAAAATGGCCGAAGCACGTCACCGTCGCCTTGGCGATTTTCTGCGCTACTACTACGACCGAGTAGACGTTCACGGTTGTGCTGTCTCGTTCTCCGGTGTGTTTTCGGGGTTGTGTCGCGCGTCGTTCGGCATGTTGGCCGACGTTTCGCTCCGCGCGCTGGGCGGGAGCTTCTTCAGTAACTGAATTGAGCAGTCAAGGTGTGTGTGTGTGTGTGTGCTGGCCTATCTCCCGGAATGCCTAACGAGACACATGGCCGGTGGCCGAGTATAGCCCCGCTCCAAAAGACAATCGCTGCTGACTTCCTACAGAGCGGTCCTCGTTTCACCGCCCCTGTGAGGAACGATGACAAACAACTGATGACCTACGATGTGAAACGGTGACCTTCCGACTCAAGAGTTGGGCGCTCGCTGACACAATCGGCGCCGCACGGCTGGTTAACGACCTGCAACGGATGCTGTGAGCAGTCGACTCGCTTGGCCGATACGGCTGGCAGGCACGACCCTCTTGTCGCCCGTGTGTCCCTTCTTGCCCCCCAAACCCACCACCCCCTCGCCCCACCTGCCGCAACTCCTCCAGTGCCAAACCAAGCCGAAGCCGAAGTCGATTCATTGGCTTTCTTAAAGCGATCAAAAATGTCACCGCCAGTCAATGCATCAAAGAGTCCACATTTTGATCCTTAATGTGTACACACACTCACACACACACCAGGGATCGTTCCAAAATCCGCACAATTTTATCTGCGGTGAGAGTCGCTATGTTAGTCGCTAATAATTTTGCCGCTACGGAGAAACCCCCCCAAAAAAATGCGTCGCTCGAGGCTGCGACAAAAATCGCCAGTTTTGGCGGCGGCACCGGCCCCGCATCCCTCCGGCCCCGCATCCCTCCGGCCCCGCATCCCTCCGGCCCCGCATCCCTCCGGCCCCGCATCCCTCCGGCCCCGCATCCCTCCGGCCCCGCATCCCTCCGGCCCCGCATCCCTCCGGCCCCGCATCCCTCCGGCCCCGCATCCCTCCGGCCCCGCATCCCTCCGGCCCCGCATCCCTCCGGCCCCGCATCCCTCCGGCCCCGCATCCCTCCGGCCCCGCATCCCTCCGGCCCGCATCCTCCGGCCCGCATCCCTCCGGCCCCGCATCCCTCCGGCCCCGCATCCCTCCGGCCCCGCATCCTCCGGCCCCGCATCCCTCCGGCCCCGCATCCCTCCGGCCCCGCATCCCTCCGGCCGACCCCCGGCATACCCTCCGGCCCCGCATCCCTCCGGCCCCGCATCCCCTCCGGCCCCGCATCCTCCGGCCCGCATCCCTCCGGCCCCGATCCCCTCCGGCCCGCATCCTCCGGCCCCGCATCCCTCGGCCCGCATCCCTCCGGCCCCGCATCCCTCCGGCCCCGCATCCCTCCGGCCCCGCAATCCCCTCCGGCCCGCATCCTCGGCCCCGCATCCCTCCGGCCCCGCATCCCTCCGGCCCGCATCCCTCCGGCCCCGATCCCTCCGGCCCCGCATCCCTCCGGCCCCGCATCCCTCCGGCCCCGCATCCCTCCGGCCCCGCATCCTCGGCCCATCCCTCCGGCCCCGCATCCCTCCGGCCCCGCATCCCTCCGGCCCCGCATCCCTCCGGCCCCGCATCCCTCCGGCCCCGCATCCCTCCGGCCCCGCATCCCTCCGGCCCCGCATCCCTCCGGCCCCGCATCCCTCCGGCCCCGCATCCCTCCGGCCCCGCATCCCTCCGGCCCCGCATCCCTCCGGCCCCGCATCCCTCCGGCCCCGCATCCCTCCGGCCCCGCATCCCTCCGGCCCCGCATCCCTCCGGCCCCGCATCCCTCCGGCCCCGCATCCCTCCGGCCCCGCATCCCTCCGGCCCGCATCCCTCCGGCCCGCATCCCTCCGCCCCGCATCCCTCCGGCCCCGCATCCCTCCCGGGCCCCGCATCCCTCCGGCCCCGCATTCCCTCCGGCCCCGCATCCCTCCGGCCCCGCATCCCTCCGGCCCCCCCCCGCATCCCTCCGGCCCCGCATCCCTCCGGCCCCGCATCCCTCCGGCCCCGCATCCCTCCGGCCCCGCATCCCTCCGGCCCCGCATCCCTCCGGCCCCCGCATCCCCTCGGCCCCGCATCCCTCCGGCCCCGCATCCCTCCGGCCCCGCATCCCTCCGGCCCCGCATCCCTCCGGCCCCGCATCCCTCCGGCCCCGCATCCCTCCGGCCCCGCATCCCTCCGGCCCCGCATCCCTCCGGCCCCGCATCCCTCCGGCCCCCGCATCCCTCCGGCCCCGCATCCCTCCGGCCCCGCATCCCTCCGGCCCCGCATCCCTCCGGCCCCGCATCCCTCCGGCCCCGCATCCCTCCGGCCCCGCATCCCTCCGGCCCCGCATCCCTCCGGCCCCGCATCCCTCCGGCCCCGCATCCCTCCGGCCCCGCATCCCCCTCCGGCCCCGCATCCCTCCGGCCCCGCATCCCTCCGGCCCCGCATCCCTCCGGCCCCGCATCCCTCCGGCCCCGCATCCCTCCGGCCCCGCATCCCTCCGGCCCCGCATCCCTCCGGCCCCGCATCCCTCCGGCCCCGCATCCCTCCGGCCCCGCATCCCTCCGGCCCCGCATCCCTCCGGCCCCGCATCCCTCCGGCCCCGCATCCCTCCGGCCCCGCATCCCTCCGGCCCCGCATCCCTCCGGCCCCGCATCCCTCCGGCCCCGCATCCCTCCGGCCCCGCATCCCTCCGGCCCCGCATCCCTCCGGCCCCGCATCCCTCCGGCCCCGCATCCCTCCGGCCCCGCATCCCTCCGGCCCCGCATCCCTCCGGCCCCGCATCGCCGCGGCCGCTCACCGGGAGCACGGGAGAGTCCTGTGTTGGCGGCGGGATGTTGAGCAAGAGCCCAGGAGGCTTCTTCCTCTGCAGTCCGCTCATCTGCTGAGGGATCTCCATTGCCAGCTCCGACGGTGGTTCGCGCCTGGGCCGGGAGTGAAGAACAGCGCGAGAGCAACACGTTCGCATTAGGGGATTGCGCGCGATGGGACCACACACACGCATGCGCATCTCAGAATCAGAATGTTTAATCAACACTGGAGGAATCCGATGAGCTATGAAGCTCTTTTTCACAAATGTCCAGCAGGGCCCGGTCAGAAAGTTACGACAACAACGAACAATACAGAAACACGATAGGAGTGCAAAGTATATAAAGGTAAGCCAATCATATTCTTAGGTTCTTTCGGTAAAGTCACGTAGATAGAAAAAATAAAAGTAAATGAAATAAAAACTACGACGTTTCTATCACAACACAAGCGATAGTTTTTATTTTATTTACTCGAATTTTTTTCTATCTACGTGACTTTACCGAAAGATCCAAAGAATATGAATTCCTGCAGTCACGAAAGTTTTGAAGTCAAAATATAAGCAAATCACTTTACAAAATATGCAAATAAAATTAAATTAGTTTTTAATCTTACCAGGAAAAGCCCAATGAGGCATTAACTTATTTTCAGAAGTGACCTGGCCACAAATGACAGCTCAACAAAGTGGCTTATCGCGTGTGGACATCTGAACCTTATGGCGGGATCCCGGGGTCCCATAAGCCCCCGGCTCTCGCATGAACTGCGTTGCGACGTCATTTTATGTCTGTTTAAGGCGAACGACACGGCAATCTATTCCTCTCGACGTGCTCTACACGAAGCGTTAATCAAAGTTTCTAAATGTTGTTTCTTCTGCGCATTCGTCCTCGCTGCTGCGCTTGGACGACACGACAACAGAATGATCCGCGCCAGGTCGGTCGCGGCGTTTATGTGCGCGTTTGGGACGGAGTCGCCGAAAATAAATTCACTAATTACGATCTTGACTTCCGTTTATTCGGGACCCCGGGGTCCCGCCATCAGGTTCAATTTCATAGCAGCAAAATAATCCAAATAAGCTGGCAATAAACAAAGGCAAAGATCCCCATGTGTAGCCGACATTGACTGATGGGGAAGGTTGGCACAGCACCGAGCGAGGTGGTGGCGTGGCCAACCCCACGCACAGCCGAGTTTGTTTCCCCAGTGCTGATGATTACACTCCAGACAAGATAATCATTTGAGGCTAATTCGACCTAGGGGGGAGGCCCAAGGCAGATTCATTTTTCAAGATCAACACTTGCCACCGATGTTAGCCGTGGCCAGGATTCGAACTCAGGTTGATGGCTTTGAGGCACAGTGCACTCAGAACGGCGCCATTCCTCAACCCGCATGCAAGGTAGAGGCATTGAAAATAATCACAACTCATTCGACGTATGTATTTTAGACACGCACTATTTTAATTGACGATCCAATTAAACATTACACCAATGATTTCACAGCACGACAACAACCTTTGGAACTGCATGTAATTTTGTAACCGTGATTTGTAAGATTTCGCACTTCTTAACATGTTATTATTATTATTATACAGACGTGCGCTGTAATGGGTTGTTGGTTCGTCATTCTTCTTGGGGCCGTGACATCTGGGTTCTTCCACGCACACCATTGTTTTAAACACAAACTCTACGCGAAAACGAAGAAACTTTCTGTTGACCTCTGGGACTTTAGGACAGGAAACTTGTGCCTCAAAAATAAAATCTGTCGACTGATGATTTTAACACACGACTGGCAAACCTGTGCATGCCATCCTTGGCCAATAATCCTGTAAAACATTTCACGAGCTGCTTCACAGAAAAACCTGGATACTCAGCTGGGGAAATGTCGCTATCAACGCAGAATATAGCTCTCCACCGATGTGTTTTTGGATTGTACCGCAAGCAGAGCAGCTGCTAATGATGATACCTCTGCCGCTAATGAAGATGATGTCGCCGATGATGATGATATTCAATTTTAAAAAAAGCTGCCGAACAATATCATGCAGTAGAATCCGAAAAACACATCGGAGAGAGCTAGACAGCACAACGGCGAATGACACAGGCAAGTAGTAAGACAGAGTGTTAACAAAACCATGGGTGTCGCCGTTACGCTGGAACGCTGCGATGGAAAAAAATTATAATTCCACATCCAGCGAGGAAAACAGAACGGTTGCCATCGTTAGGAGCCATGCAACGTGAGCCGCTCCGATTTAAAGAGGGGAAAATACGGCAAATTTTATTTTCGTGGGATCTTGACCATCTGGGCTCTGGCGGCAAAAAAGGATGGGCAGCGCTTGGGAAAATTTTGCTCCAATTAGGCGAGAGAGCGACGCGATCTGGGTTTTCGTGCAACCTCAGCTAGGCAGCGAGAATACTCTCCAGATGTCCCAGTGGCGGAAACGGGGCCACGCTTTGCACTCCAGGCACTTCCAAAACTACCACATGAATGATTTTACTCGGGCTGACATGATATATATTGTGATTTTTGTTTTTAACAAAAAAATATTGGGGGGTGGGGGCAGAGCTTTTGAGAAATGTTTTGTTTGATAATGTAGGAAAGTCAAAAAGTCCACGTGTCTCTCTCTCTGCCCGACACAAGCGTGGGCAAAGTGCGTATATACATTTTTTCGTGGAGCTGAGCCAGTGGTGAAAAATTCCTTACGGCTATGGCGGGGGCCTGCCCCTCCATGGAATAACAAACAAGTGACTTCAAATAAAGTGTATATACCCACTGGAACTTGAACTTGTGACCTTTTATTGCTAGTCAAGCTATCTAACCTCAGTGCCAATCAACACGATTCAATATCACACGGTACAGCGTTGGTGCAGTGGTTAGAACACTGCACTATAAGAGTTTCATTTCCATTTAAATCTTTCGTGACTGCAGGGATTCATATTCTTGGTTCTTTCGGTAAAGTCACGTAGAAGGGAAATAATACAATAATAAAAATAAAACATAATAAAATACAATTCTCACGACGTTTCGGCCACAACGCAAGCAGCCGTCCTCAGGTGAAGAACAGGTCTGTCGGAAAGACAGCGTCTGAATGAAACGTCGTGAGAATTGTATTTTATTATGTTTAATTTGTATTATTTTATTATTTCCCTTCTACGTGACTTTACCGAAAGAACCAAGAAGAAGAGTTTCATTTCCGTTCACAGCTAACATCGGTCACAATTTATATCTGAACTTTTTCTGGGCCCTCTCTTTACTAATCCGCATTGACCAGCACGCTGAAGTATGGTTAAACAACTGCCATTACTGATACGGCATGGGGAGGCCTTCAGCCAGCAGTGGATTAACAAAGGTTTTTTTAATTGTTAATCATTTAGTTAAAAATCAAGATTCATCAACACCTCATCGCTCAACCGAGTAGGTTACTGACCTGTCCGCGAGCAGTTTGAAACGTTTTCTTCGTATGTATAAGGGCTTTCTACAGGCCCTCTGGTTTCAACCCACGTGAAAAAAAAATTCGCCAAACAAATTCAGAGCAGGAGCCTCCTGAAAAAAGACCCCCTGACACTGCGTGAGGGCCATCCAGGATAAATAATGGACATTATTATTGTAAGTGGACACAGTTTGGACTCGATGCAAGACCTGGCTAGCCACAATAGTGCATACTTTTCACTCCCCGCTTGCTTTATGTTTCTTAATATGTGCACCCTTTGTGTGTTTGTTGTACACGCACACAGCAAATACAGTGAATGCCATACACGTGGTCTTCACTGCAGTAATTTTACAAAACAGTTGTGTACTGGATGTGGAAAATATACAATAAAAAAATGTGCAAAAAAGTTAAGTCTCAAAACCAGTCCAAAGTTTGAGTCAACTCCAGTAATTATATCCAAGCACTGATTAGCTTGAAACAAATATGAAGATGCAGCTATTCAGGGCTCTAGTTGAGCACAATAAAATTCAATAATCGATTAAAATTTTCCCATTATGGAATCTCTAATGGCTGCAGCAGTCAGGTGACCTGAACACGCACAACATTTACCAATAAAAAAATATCACAACCGAGTCTCCCATGCACGATTGAATGAAATGCATCGCGCGTGTAACGAACCCGATTTTAATCGGTCATTCAATTCGTCGATACGCACCTGACGTGCAGCGCAATACAAGTACTGTACTGTACACGTACCGCACAAAGGTGCACACTTTAAAAAAAAGATAACTTTGCAATCCCTTCGTCCGACGTTCGCAACAAGACTGAGCATCGCGCTCATTGGGAAATGTTGTGCGACCTGTAACAGGGCACCCATTCATCGCTCGCGCCCATTTTTCTTCTCCGGGGGGACATCTTAAGTGGGCCATTGCCCCTCCGTAGGCTGTCACCCACCCCCTCCCTCCATCCTGGGAAATCACGCCGGTCCTCCTTTCTGGAGTCGGGGTAACCTCTCTCACAATGGCCGTGCCAATTCACCAACGTCTCATCCCAGCGACGGCATTTGTTTCGGCGGTGCGCCTCAATTAACGGTTGCTTCTAAAGGCAGCCACCGGCAAACGTTTCCAAAAAATGTGGATCTCCACACGAAACGCGAACAACAACAAAAAAAGCAACCCTCGCACACATGTAATGTATGTATGTTGAACTTCTTTCGCACCGGCACGTAGCCTACCGTGCTCATTGGAGGTGCAGGGGGAAGGACAACATAACTAAACGCTAAAAGCAGTTCTAAAGAAATGGGTTTTCCACGTAGATTTTAAAGTGCATAGCTCCAGTGGCTTCCTAATATCCGAGCGTTCCAGACGGCCGCAGAAGCACACCTAAACACCGAGTGAAGTAGTGACCGTCTTTGTTCGATGGCTATCTAAAAGCCGCTGCTGTGAGGATGACCGGAGTTCGCGTGATGGTTTTGCGCTCTTTGACGAGATCAGCGAGGTGCTGTGCACAACACGCAGATCGCAGAATGGGACATCGGATCTCCGTCGACATTCTCTCCATTCCCCACTGGCGATTCGTCCACGGCGCGTTTGATGTCACGTGGGTGAGAAATTTCATGACAGAATCAATCTAAGTAAAGAATCTTTATTTAGACTGGAGGAACCCGATGAGATATGCAGCTCTTTTTCACAGGTGTCCACT